CATACATGTACATAACTCACTCATTGGACAGAGGTTTATAGTTTTGCGTAAAACGATTTAACAAATAACTGAACACATTAAAGAAAACGTTTGTCGAATTTTTACAAGAACTGCTCAAGTTGGGTTACTTAATACGAAGCTGTGGAAATTGCCGTATGTAGTGAGGGAGCGTGAGAGGCTGTTATGTTATCAATATATTTCACAAATCTGGTTTGCCTTTGACCATGGAACTTTCCTGTAAACTATTATTGAAATCGTTTCTTCGGTTTTGGAGATGATGTCAAAAATGTGAATTGTTAATGGACGGAGGATGCACGCCGACGGACAAAATACTATCAGTAATAATCCCTTAAAGTTTGGTGAAGATCCGACTTATAGTTTCTGAGAAAAGTGTCGGAAACCTTTACGGCGGAAAGCGGAAGAAGACAGAAGAATAATAATGATAAGAATCTCTGAGTAAAAACAATAATACCCTAAACTTCGTTTGGTGGACTTAATAAGCGAATAAAGAGCATGCATATCAGTTGACAGGAACCGCCAGAATATTGATAGTGGACTAAGCAAGCTAAATGAACGCTTCGAGAACAGATGGGTCACGCCGACAACACATCAAACCACCTTTTAATCTGGGATGTGATTCGATTAGAGTTACAGCCACATAGGGATTTACACTGTATGTTAAAATATATAGCTAGACGTATAGCCACATAGGATTTACACTGTATGTTAAAATATATAGCTAGGCGTATAACCACATAGGATTTGATACTGTATTTAAACAATAACTGGTTGTCTGGATGTAATTATTGTTGATATAATTACAAGTGGCCTCTGGCAAAGCCCATAAAACCCGCTAGGTTTTAAGGTAGATTTGCCAGAGGCCACTTGTAATTATATCAACAATAATTACATCCAGACAACCAGGTATTTTTTATATTTACATATTTTTCTTTTTTAAGACATACTCCTACAAAAACCATTTGCCCTGCCTCAAAATACATTTCAGGCGGCCATTTTGTTTGTTTACATATTCCTACACCTGAAACAGGCAGTTGTAATTATANATTAAAATATATAGCAATATTTATACCGACATAGGGTTGACTCTGTTTAAATATATAGCTAGGTGTATACCCTTAGATATTCTAACACACTTATGTTAAAATATATATCTAGGTTTATACCCACATAATGATTGACTCTATATGGTTAAATATATAGCTAGGTGTATACCATTAGATATTTTAACACACTTATGTTTAAATATATAGCTAGGTTTATTCCCACATAGGGATTGACTCTATATGTAATATATAGCTAGGTTTATATCCACATAGGGATCGACTCTATGTTAAACTTATATAGCTAGGTTTATACCCACATAGGGATTGACTCTATGTTAAAAATAAAGCTAGATTATTTCCCACAAAGGGATTAACACCGTGTTAAAATATATAGGTAAGTTTATACCCACAATGGGAATGACTCTTTATCCCTTTCACCACTGTAGACCATAATGGACACATCCATATCAATGTCACTGGTTGCGTTTTAACAATAACTCGGGACAAGTTGTTTCAAGTGTATATCTTTCCTTTATAATCTCCGAGAAACCTACAATACAGGACAATACATTAAATACATTTACCCTCTTATATACATACAATAAATACTACACAACTTCCGCGCCGACCGAGGTACCGAACCTCTGAATAGAGACCGCTATAAATATAGTAATTCTAATAACTAAATGTTATAACCACACGATAGTTATTATAAAATACGGTTATGCATGGTAGAGTCTACCTAAGTTGCATAGGGGTGAAAGGGTTATGTTTAAAATAAAGCTAGATTATTTCCCACAAAGGGATTAACATATACCTAAATGTCAAAAACATTTTTGTAAGTGCAGTAGATTATGTATTCCTATCTAGATGAAATATATAAATATATACGGACATACCTCCATTAGGATCCAGTTATATGGGATTTTACCGTCTATATTACTTTTTTGCCCCATATCTTGACGAAATATATATACTGGTATTATAACACAGCTGGATACGGCCTGTTAATCTTCTGCATATTGTGCGTTTCTTTTTTCACATGTCAATTTATGATACGGACTCTTGTTAACTTTTCATAACGCCTAAATTTACGTTTGATTTTACAGATCTCGTTACGTTTTAAAACCAAGGTCAATAACAAAAGTAACAGCAACACGGCTCCAAGTTATCTAACATACAAAAAGTAATACTGTAGCACATTTCCCCTTATTTTGGCATTAAGCCTAAAAGTATTTGTGAAGGAATTTCTTTTCAAGGTTTTTTCCCCTCATAAATATGGGTATCAATTACAAGAAGAAATGAAAAACAAAGAGGCCCAAAGGGCCTGTATCGCTCACTTAAATATTTAGGCAGTCATAACAAAATATTTTCATTAAACATATATTGCACTACAAATCTTCCCTCGCAAACTTTGTCAGCTCCGGGATCCATCTGTTGAAACTACCAGCCAAATATTATCATAAGATTCTACGTTTTTGGTTCTTCTTCAGAAGTTGTTTGACACATTTCCCCCTGTGACCTTGTCAGTAGGTCAATGTCATTTTTCTTCTCAAACTTTGTTAGCTCTATCCGAAAAAGCTACCAGCCAAATCTTCAGAAGAAATCCTTTGAAATGTTGTTGACCTCTGTGACCTTTAAGTAGGTTGAGGTAATTTTCATTTGCAAACTTTGCTGAGCTCCCAGGAAGCCCCCAGCCAAATATTCTTCAGAAGTCTTTTTTTTTTTTTTTTTACATATTTGACACCTGTGACCTTGAAAGTAGGTCAAGGTCATTTTCATTCTCAAACTTTGTCGGTCTCTATTTCAGGAACCCTACAGCCAAATATGAAAGTTCTATACCTTTTAGTTCTTCAGAAGAAGTTGTTAAAAAGCGTTTTAACATATTTGACCGCTGTGACCTTGAAAGTAAATCAAGGTAATTTCATTCTCAAACTTTGTCGGTCTCTATCCCAGGAAGCCACCAGCCAAATATGAAGATTCTATACCTTTTAGTTCTTCAGAAGTTGTTTGAAGCGTTTGAAATATTTGACTGCTGTGATCTTGAAAGTAGGATAAAGTCATTTTCATTCTCAAACTTGGTCGGGCTCTATCCTAGGAAGTCATCAGTCAAATATGAAGATTCTATACCTTTTAGTTCTTCAGAAGAAAACGTTTCAAGAGTTTGACCTATTTGACCGTTGTGACATTGAAAGTAGGCCAAGGTCATTTTCATTCTCAAACTTTGTTGGGTTCTTACCAAGGAAGCCACCAGCCGAATATAAAGATTATATACCTTTCACTTCTTCAGAAGAAGTCTTTGAAGTGTTTACCACATTTGACCCCTGTGACCTTGAAAGTAGGTGTAAGTCATTTTCTTTCTCAAACTTTGTAGGCTCCTACCAACGAAGCTTTCAATCAAATATCATGGCTCTATGCCCGTTTGTTCTTCAGAAGATGTTGTTTAAAGGAAATGTTGATGGACGACGATGGACCCCGCACCATGACATGTACATAAGCTCACTTGCCCTTCGGGCAGGTGAGCTAAAAATTGATCATTTGATCCTCTTTTGAAAAAAGGGTGATGAAAATTATTTTTTGAACTTAATTTAAATGTAGTAACTACCTCTTGTATAACTTTAGATATGGTGAAGTTAAGTAAACCAACACACTGCAATGTAGATTTGCCAAAAATATCAAATTATCCACCTCCTTTAATCATTTTGATTATAAGCTTGGTTCAATAATAGACTTAGTAACCCTTGGATTTCTTGCCGCCTACATCCTTCGAATATAAGCCGACTTTTAAAATAGGCCTTGTATTAATCCAGGTAAGATTCACGTTTCTTCTCATGTTAAAGACATTGGCTTTAGTTGTATTTTATGCCCTTCGAGATGATGTCTTGTTTGACATATTGCGATTGTCTTTTGTCCATCGTTGTGCGCGTCAGTCCGTAAACAATTCACATTTTTTACTTCTTATTCAAAACCAAAAAACAAGTTTGGCAGGAAGGCAAACTAAAATTGTGAAATAACTTGATCACATCCCCAGGGGCCCCGAGGGTCGAGGAAAAAGAGGATCAAATTGGCTAAAATTTCAACAATCTTCTTCCTAAGACCCAGAAATACTAGAACTAAATACTGGACCTTCATGGATTGAAATATCCTTTATCAAAATTATGAATTTCTTTTCTTCGGGTCATCCACTCCCCTCTGAAGATGGAGTAAACTTTACTATAGGCAATATATAGGGAAATTACACATTTCGGTATAATTCAAACTCATAAATGTGATTGCAGTTTGATAGTATGACAAATAAGACCAAAACATTAGTTTTAGTTTTGGTAAGTAAAACAATATCATCATAATTGCTCCTTGGCATAAAGGCCAGGTCAATTTGAATATTGTTGCGATTTACAGCTGGTATCGCTTGGTGTAAGTTCAGGGTCAAGCCAATGATGAAAGCCAAATTAATGTCTTTGCCTAAGTGGAGTATGGTAAAGGTGCCACAGTCAAAGGTCAAGCTCATTGAGGTCAAATTTAATCTAGTCTGAATGGCTGACATCGTCTTACAACTGATGAAGAAATATTATAAGGACTGATATGGGTGCCAAGTGTCCATTGAAGCAGGGTCAATGATCAAATAAAATCTTCACACCATTTTTTTTATAACAAAAGCAGTGTCAAAAAGACCAGCCTTAAGATAGCAACAGCAAATGGTTATTTTTCTGTGGTTAATTTATGTGATCTCTTTAATAGGAGCCAAGAACCCTCTGGAATTTCTTGTTACCTTTATTTTCCAATCAGTAAAATAAAACGACTCAATTATCACTCTTCCGTTTTTAATTTTTTAATTTCTGATATTCAAATCAGTGCATTTTTGTATAAATATGTGCAGATAGTTTTGTTTTCAGCTCTGAGAAACCATATAAACCTGTTTATGGTTATGTTATGTACATATGAAAGTCTCAAGATTTTTTCTTGACAACTCCCAATTATATTACTACAATTAAAACTTAAAAAATGCATTGTGAAATGAAAATTAATTTACAGTATAAATATGCTGAAATAATGGACAATGAAAGGTAGGTGAAGCTTTAAAAGATTAAAGAATGTCAAATTATTGAGCAAATCATCAACATGCTAACTTAAAAATATAAAATGGCAATCATTTCTCTTCAGACCTAACACTTTTTTCAATGTATGTACAAGACAGAATATACTCTGCACTAACTTTGTCATTGTGTAATATATTCTTAAAGCTAAATTGTAAGTCTCCTATTAAAACTTATAGTGAACCATTTAGACTAGTTTTCATCCAGTTTACTGACGTTTTAGTGCTTGTATGTTTGAAATTTGCAATACTTTTTTTTTGCATTACTGCAATGCACACAGAAATATAACATTTCACTGCCAAATTCCATGATTTACTAGAACAAAATAGAAAATGAAATGTTTAGAAATTCAGCTAATGTACAGGTTGATTTTTTTGAAGTTTGAACATTTTTGCTCATTCCTAATTTCAGGTAATATGTGGTATGAAAATTCTCCAATACATGTATTACATCACATTTTTGTGCTGCATTTTTCTTAACTAAAACTGCACAGTAGCCAATAACAAGTAGAGATTTCACCACTGAATATCAGGTATTATTAGCTGTTGCCTTCATACATTTGATCAATTATTTTTCTCATCGTCTTAAAGTTTCAAAATATTAGTGTTACATAATTTTGAATCCAATTTTCGTGCATATCAGTTATGATTTTCAAATAAATATGATATTATAACATCCTGTAGTATTCTCTATCAAATTTTTATTGATGGTGTATTTTCATCAAGAATACAGAATAGTATTACCCGCTTATCATGAATACAGTAGATTCTGTTAATTTACAACTCATGTATAGCAAACATTAATTTGACCTTTTTTCCATATAAATAATGTGATTTCCTGCTCATATTTTATTCTAGCTTTATCTAATGTGCACATACAATTGGTATACAATCTGCTATTTCGAAGAAAACCTCTACCATTTTTCAAACAAACACATTTTCCTAAGTTGATGATATCCTGGAATACTCGCTGCTCCCCTGTCCCCCAAGAGATCATGCTACGTATGATCAGTTGGGTGGAGGTGGCGGGGGCGATACCAGCATTTGGTTTAACCCACCCATATTGTTCATGTCAAATCCTCCTGGAGGGGGAGGGGGTGGTATGGGGTTGTAGCCTCCAGGCTGACTAGGAGGTGGGGGAGGTGGGGCCACAGGGTTGGGTCCATGGCCTCCCTGCTGCTGCCAAGGTGCAAGCTGTGAAGGGGGTGGGGGAGGTGCTGTCACAGCCCACGGAGATGAAGTTCCTGCCGACGTTGCAGGCGGGGGAGGAGGTACTCCTGTATCTGTAGACAATATGAAAAATTATTAGCTGACAAACATCAACAAGAGGCCCATGGTATTAATTTTTGTTGGTGAAATATGAAGTGGAAATAATGATGTCAATCATCCCTACCAAAATTTGAGTAAAAAAAGTATAATGTCAAGTCAAGTTTGTCAGGACCATGAGTTGATCATTCCTAGACCTAGTTTCAGTTAAATCTGCCTATTTGAACTTGATTTTAAGTTTTAAATAGTTTTATTCCAAAATGGTAGCCGTGGGGGCTGTATTGACTTTTTGATCGACCTGAAAAAAGTACACTTTGACAGGACCATGAGTCGATCATTCCTACCAAGTTTCAGTTAAATAGGCCCAGTAGAACTTGATTTAAGTTTGAAATAGTTATTTACCATATTTGATTTCTGATCGCCCTGAAACATAACACTTTGTCAGGACCATGAGTCGATCATTCCTAACAAGTTTCAGTTAAATCCGCCGAGTAGAACTTTACTTAAAGTTTGAAATAGTTTTTCAAAATTGGCCGTGGCGGCCATATTGGATTTCTGATCGACCTGAAAAATAACACCACTTTGTCAGGACCATGAGTTGATCATTCATACTAAGTTTCAGTTAAATCGGACCAGTGGAACTTGACTTTAAGTTTGTTATAGTTTTTCAAAATTGCGGCCATATTGGATTTCTGATCGACCCTAAAAAAAAAATACTTGGTCAGGGAGTTGTCAGTATTATTCCCATGGTGTATCAATGAAATCCCTTTGAGAGTATTTCAGCTTAAGTTTAAAATGTGAAAATGTTAACCAACTACACACGACGCAAGACGACGGACGAAGACAGATAGCAATAGGTCACTTGAGCTAACAAAGAAACATATGCTGCATTTGGAAGATGCAAAACTTTGTTTCAAACATGTCTTTATTATCAAGTCCTTTTTTGTCGCCTGAAGTTTTATTTTTAAAACCTCAACTTAGGCCATAATAAATTAATTGCTAGATTCTCATCCAAATTCTTTTCAAAATTGGGGCGGGGGGCGAATTTTATTTTTTATTCTTTATTTTTCCTAAAATTTGAAATGGTTGCTTTTTTTTTGTTTGTTTGTTTGATTTTGTTTAACGTCCTATTAACAGCTAAGGTCATTTAAGGACGGCCTCCCCTGTGTGCAAGATGCATGCGTGTAGTGTATGTGTGTGTATTTTGGGAGGCTGCGATATGTTCGTGTTTGTCTCCTTGTGATATCGCGGAACTGATGCCGACTTTATAGTGCTACCTCACTGAGACATACTGCCGAAATGGTTGCAAATGTGTTAAAAAAGTGCAATAAAGGCGCATGTTCAGTGTACATTTATCTTTATTTTTTGTTAATAACAACTTTGAGTATGCAGTATACACATTGAACACCATTTCACTGTTCAGTCCACATATATATCTGTACTAACTTTTGGTATGAATACACACCACATTATTTTTCCACATATCGTCCTCTTTTGATTACAGTGACCTTGCCATTGTTGCTTTAGAAAATCCCGACATTAAAATTGTAAATGCGTCGGATTTCGCACTGGCAGTTGCCGACTGCTCTTCTGTATCAGCATCAATATTAAATTTTAAATAAGCTCCGAGGTACGACACCACTTCCCCCACCGTACATGCGCCATCACACTGGATCAGTTCCACTTTCGATTTACCGACAGACACAACGGCCCTGTTACCACACTTGACGGGCGCAGATTTGTCAATTGTTCCTTCGGCTAATTCATGAAAGACCTGCATTAATGTTTTAGTATCGGCTACTGAACACCCATACCAATTTTTAAGAACGGCAAGTTGCCGTTGCAGCTTTAGAATTACAAAAACCAGACTTGCAGAGGACGAGTTTTCTACAGCCGGAAATTGAAAATATAAAACTAATTTTTGAAGCGGAAAACGGAAAAAAATCCAGATTTCGTATTTTCAGGTTTTTTTTGCAAATAAAAAAAATTGGGGCGGGGCCTCAAAGAGGGGGCGGGCGGGGATGAGAATCTAGCAAATAATTTATTATGGCCTTACCAAGGTTTCGTTTTATTTTCAAGGCATTCATATTTTAAATTTAATTCAAATTTCAATTTCTTTAAGTGAGTTCTTAATTATAATCCAAAACACTTTTAAATCTTACATTTAAGTTGTGACTTACTTTGTGGCGGCTGCATCCATGACATAGAATTTGGGGGCTGACTGCTTGGTGGGGGAGGGGGTGGGGCCGTCAGCAGTGAAGGAGGTGGAACTCCTGAAATAACAAAAGTCAAATTATTACATTCTCCATCATGCACTTAACATTTGATATGATCAGTGTCCAAGTGCTTAAATCATTTAGTTTATTTCTCAACACGGTACTTAAATATACAATATTTCGTAAGTCCCCCCCCCCCACCGACGTAAAAATATTCACACTAAAAGAATATCATTCAAAGAATTCCTACACTTAAGTTTCCTAGAAGAAAAGCAGCATTCATCACTGATGCATACAACCTGGGGAACATTTATTTTGTCTGGAATCTGAGAAGACTCACTTTATAAAGTGAAAACTTAATTCTTTTTTATTTCTGATGTCCTAGACGACTGAGCTACAGTAACAATTCCAACTCTTACCCATGACTGCAGTGGTGTTGGAACTGCTCTGTGTAGGCACCGCGTTAACAGACTGCTGCCACGGAGGTGGTACTGGCCCAGCAGACGAGTTGAATTGTGACTGTGGAGGTGGACAGATTGGCCCTGACATCTGCCCTGGGGGTGGCTGCATCTGTGTGGGGGGCATGGATCCCATGGGCATACCCATTCCACCATGGGGCTGTCTGTGCATAAACTGCTGCTGTTGCTGCTGAACTGGTGGTTGATTCTGCTGCGACACATGGTTGTGGTTCATTCTCATCATTGGGGGTGGACCAGGTCTCTGCATTGTGTTCTGCTGCCATGGAGGATTCACTCCCTGTAAATATTAATGCATAGAATTAACACCGTTTTCACTCCCTGCAACCATTTATGCATATAAATATTGATATATCACTACCTGTAACGATTGATGAATACATATGTTGTGATCTCACTCACTTCAACAAGTGATGTATATTTATTGATACATCACGCCATGTTACATGGATATATATTGATATTGATCTCTAACTCGATGAAACATACTATACATAGATATTTATATATCACTCTCTGATACAATTTACCAAGTTACCCTTTAAATTGGAAACATAATCAAAAATTTAATATTTGACATTACAAACTTTCATTCTCAGATCTGACAATTACTTTCTGTTTATCTTTACACAATGCTTATGTTACAGGAACAATTCAGATGGGACATAGAAATAAGGTACATTATGCCTTAATTATAACAACACAACTGAATTGTCCACTTTTGGTGATATTGATCATCAATGTGGCTAGAATTAAGATATTTACCATAGGGTTGGGAGGAGGGTGGTTCATATGGGGTCGGAAGTGTTGTTGCTGTGGATGGTTAGGCTTTTGTTGTGAGGGGGGCGGTCCTTCTCCAAGCTCTGCCATGAGTGACATGTACTGTAACGTAAACCAAATCATTTAACTATCATCTATCATAACAAGCAAATTCATGAATACTGTTCCCTCCTAGAAGCACTGACTACATGATCTAGCTACACGTTGTTTACATATTTGAAGAACTGCATACAAATCCTGGAGTCTCTTCTTAAAGTCTGTCATGGAGCATACTCAAGATATTTTTTCAATTACTTAAAATGGTTTTACAATAAGGAAAGTGTTTTATTACCTCACTGTCCATCTTTGCCTTGTCTACCTGGTTGATTGCAGGGGTAGGTGAAGTTATTCTCAGCGTGTCACCTGGTCTGAAACAGAGAAGCCACATTGTGTCATACAAAATCTACAACACTCGATGAAATCAACCCTTTCAGTCACTTTGGACAGAAAACTCATTGATGGAATTGTCAGTGTCTGGCCATAGAATTTAAACTTTAGGCAATTATATTTTACATGTACATTCTGTACCTGACTCCGGACAAAAAGGATGTCGTATAAAAAATAGCTTACAAAAAATTGTTGCTAAGAACAGACAACTCGAAATAGAAACCACTCCTGTTAAATATCTGCTTCTTAGCCTGAGCGACTTACCGTTTAGCTTTACAGTCCTGGGCTATGTGGCCAGTTCCACCACACACAGAACAGATTATTGTGTTGGTGATAATTGTCTGGGCCTGTTGTAACTGTTTAAGTTTCCTGAAACAATGAAAATACAGAACACTTGATTCCCCTGTTTTTAAAGACCTGAGCTTGAAATATTCTATTTTGGGTGGGGATCTAAAAGCAAGTGAAAGTAACTTTTTCAAAAACTTGTAAAACTTTTATAGAACTAGAACTGACAGGTCAGTAAGGGCCCCGTCATGTGGCAATATATCGACCATAATCATCAAGAAGCAATCTGCCCATATAGCTGAGCTTGACATTTGACATTTGGACTTAAAAAAAAACAAGAAAACAAAATATACATTTTACATGTAATATGATGCGAGACTTTTTTCCTTCCACCTCCATATTTACTGGGCTTACAGAAAAGGAAACGCCGGGGCAATAATCATTTGTTAGCTTTGATTTGTTTTATTTCACATTAAATAACTCCCCCATCAAGAGCCAGGGTCAAAGTTAGAGGTCCACTTTGTCTTTGACCCAAATGACCTTGACCTTTAACGCAGTGACCCTGATCTTTGGTCAGTTGACTTATTCTTTAATTCCGACCAACTTTGATTCATAATATCATAAAACAAAATGTTCATCAGTGAAAAATACAAAACTTGACCTTGAACCTCGAAACTTGGACCTTTGGTCAGTTGACTCCGTGTTTAATTCTGATCAGCTTTGCTTCATTATGTCATAACAAAATGTTCATCAGTGAAAAGATCCTAGAACATTGGGTATGAATATCTCGAAAATACTTTTTTTTCTGATCTTATTTTATAGAAAGTCTGCAGGTTTAAGCACAACAAAATCAGACATACGCCAGGCCGTCGTTTTCCCTGAGAGTTCCGTTGAGTAAAGCCAATTCTCGTAGTTGTTGGCGCCGAAGATCGTTCTGTCCTTCTGGAACTTCTATACCTTGAGTTATAATCTCCTTTATCTACAGAACAAAAAATAAAATGTTTACAGTTATGGTCCAATTAATCATGACAAATGCTACAAACTACGAAATAATATATTTAGGCCTGAGAACTAAGTAATTTAATTTGTATTGCTTTGTCAATTTTTTTTTATGTTAATTAAAAATTGATATCGTCCAAAACCATCAAATTTATCAAACTGCAGAGCAAATCATGAGAGAATTTGTTTAGTTAGTTCTGTTAAACAAACAGTGAACTGAAATTAAAATTCTTTTGCTTCAAAATTTCTACAAAATACTAGCCTGGCACTTGTTTCAATAGTTGAACAATTTTTTTCATTTTTTATTTGTTAAATTGTTGTTGATAAAATCTCATACGATTTAGATTATTAAATATAAAGAACAGATATTCTGTTTTTTGGGGGGTTTTTTGGCCTCCAATAGACTAGATAGCTTTCTGAACAATCTAAGAGTAAGGTGTATCATACCTTTTCTACAGCCTTTTTGACGTTTTCCGGGTTGTTGGCAGTGACGTAAGCATGTAAGGGTTCATCCTCCCCTGGCAGGGGTTGTCCGTCCTTACGTCCAATCTTTCCCTCCTTCACTGATCCCTTCCCTCGGATGATAATCTTGGCCCCCGTCTGAATTTAACCAAAACAGAAATACCAATAAAACTTTTTTTTATAGAAAAAGAAACCTTATCATCTTGGCCACCGTCTGAATTTAACCTAAACAAACCTTTAGCTCACCATTAGTTTTTAACAATTTTATTAGTGTGAGTACTTAAGGATGTACATAATTACACAACGTTCTGTGAAGTTATCTCTTATAATTCCCTTAAATATCTCTTAATAAGGAAATCTTGTAAAGGGGAAGCCTACAATTGATGCATATATACTATATCCCGACTTCCTGATATGTGTATTCAGCTCTATATTTTTGTGATTTTTGCAAGTTTTCCAAGACCCAAGTTACCTAATGATATCATTAAAGCACACTGTATTTGACAGTTGTTTTTTGTAGACGATTTTGATATATTCAGATTTGAATATGAAGCTCCAAACTTTTTTCTGTGAGTTGTAGAATTAGTTAAGAAACACAATGTGAAGGCTGAACTAAAGACTGGGCGTCATACCTCCTTTTCCAAATTCTTGAGTGTATTTCCTCGAGGTCCAATGAGAAGACCAACAAAGTTGATCTCTGGGTTCTCTTCCTGGGGTATCATGACCTTGTCATTGACTCGTATCACTGGTGGCCTGAAAAGTCAATGCCAAAATTAAAAAAAATCAGAATTTTTCACTCCAACTAGCACAAATATGAGAATTTTGTCTCATAATTCCAAATTCCAAAGTATTTAACAATATTGCAAATTGATTTACAATATTTTTCACAGAACCAAAATTCTACCAAATAAATTTACATGAAAAGTTACCACAACTAACGAAATTATTCTGAAGAATAATCAGTTGAATGGGTAACAACATCACAAAACATGAAAATTATAAGTTTAAAAAAAATAAAAATAAATAAAGATGGGAATAATATAAACGAGAGAGAACCTTTGAAACAGGAAAGCAAGCTTAAGGGAAGTAATTGAGAAACATTTGTGGCTTACTTGTAATCAGCAGGAGGTTTGTACTCATCGTTGAGGTCCATGGCTTCCTGAACATGTTTGTGGCGCTCTTCTTCCAGTTTTTTTCTGGTTCTGTACTCACGGGTGTTCAGCCTCTTTCCCTCATTGTTGTAGATTGGCTCAGGTGATGGAGACCTAGAACGAACAAACATTTGACAAATATCACTTATCTGTGAGGGTATTCAACCACTCAGGCCCTATGTACCTTAGTCTACAAACTTCCTAAATGTCACAAAGAAAAAATTACAAACCCTAAATATGATACAGATGACAAGAGACAGAATAGTTTGTGGCTTTCAATGATGTGAAAAATAAACATTTGTTGTGAACAAAACACATGGCTAAAAAAATACCCTTTGATTCATTTTCGATACAAACAAACAGAAGTTTGGATATGAACCATTTGACAACTAAAAGTTCTCCCAAAATTTTCATAGTTTCATATTTTTGTTGTGACAGTTTTACCAATAGATGTTGGTACAATTTTTGCCAAGATCAAGATTTTATAGAAAAGGTCCTGAAAAGTTTATTCCAACAAATACAATAGGATGCATTATTTGTTTATTGTTTTACGAGCTCAACTGGTATGGCATCTTCATTAATTTCTGTTTTGGAAGAAATTTTTCGATTTGGAAATGGTTCTTTAGAAAAGAAAAAAAAATCATGTTCTTAAATTTGTGAAATAGACATCATTTAAAAATGAGGAATTAATGAGTAAGTTCTTTTTTTAAATGTGTTCTTCTCTCATAGTTGCTGAACTTGAATTTCTAGTCCAAATTGTATAAATCACATAAAACAAGGAAAATAAGACTTTTTTCAGTTTAGATATACAGCGAGTAAAAATGTACATCATACAAGTATTCTGAAAAGTATTTTGAAATGTCCAGCTTTACAAGGATCACATTTATATCAGATCAATGTCATCAAATGTATTAAATTACGTGTTGTCACTAGAAAGTTTAGTCAGAAAATAGTTTCTGAGAAAATTGTTATTCTATTCAAAACATATGACACATGGTGAAGTATGTTTTTAAATCACAATTAATGAATTAAACATTAATAAGACCCATGACATGTCAGACGAGTGATAAAAAAATGTTTACACTAAGCACTGGTGACTGAAATTTTCTAAATTTCCTTGACAAATCTTAATATAATGGAAAAAATATTAAGGAGGGTCATTTAACATTTGAATTCTAGTACTTTACAGTATAACACAGCTTTAACATTCTTAAGAAAGTTAGTAGATGTATTAGTAACACAGGAAATGATGTCATAACATCGTCTGACATCAACTATCTGTATACACAACATTACAATACCCTGGCAAGATAAACTAATATTAACATCCAAAGACATTATTGGTATACCAACTAAACTTTTCACTCGTACATTAATGGCAATTCGAGATTTATGCGAATACTTTATGATTCTGGTACATGTAACAGATTTTGATTCTTGTAGAAAAAAAAATTGACCTCTTTGCACATAAATCCCAATATTGTTGATCATTTGAAACAAATGAACCTAGAAAATGCCTGTAAGATGGGAATGCTCTCACTGCCATATAAAATTAGCTTCACTGTTCCAAGGACAGGTTTCTGTATTTTAAAAAGTAATGGTGACTTTGACCTTTGCACCCTGAAACACAAAATTATCAGAGGTTATCTTGCAAATGACCTTTGTATGACATTTAATCAATATCAACTAAACATGGCCAGGTTACTAGAGCAATAACACTTGACTTTATAATATAGTGACCTTGACCTTTGGATATGAAACAATAAAAAATATTACTCTTCATCAGGCTCCACAGTAGCAGACCTTTTATCTCAGCTGTCATTTTGAATAAATGCTTTCAATAATGAATTAATTACAGATATCCTGTAAATCTTAAACATAAATCAATTTTCTGTTACGGAAAAATGTCACATTTAAAAATATATACCTTTGGTTTTTTTACAGTAAAATTTCTTGATGAGAATATTTGTAGAACCTTAAAACTGCTGGCCCAGTGTTTATCTTAACATTAAAAATGCTCTTGGTATATTTTTCTTATGCTATCAATTAAGGACAACTTGAGTATATTTTTGATGTTATGGAGATATAACACAAAATTTTAACGCCTCAGCTAAAAACGGAGTGTACTCTAAATAAACCATGATGAGAGTACACTCCGACTTTTTGTGTTATAGCTCCATAACATGAAAAATATATTCAAGTCAATCCTTATAATTTAATCTACTATACTATACTGTGGAAATCCACTTTTATTGATGGACTCTTTTTTCTTAGAAATTATTACGCCCCTGTATCGGCCCATCAATAGCGACGTTACAAAAGGCGACGTCATTTTTTACGTTATAGGCTGATAACAATAATTTTTAAGCCAATGAAAATGCTTGTTACAAGCAAGTTTTAATTATCATATATACAAAAAAAAATGTTTGGAGCTACATTTAGGTTGGTGTTTCATTGATGGTTTGTCAACGAAAGTGAAACAAGCCGAGTAATGGCATATGTAATCATTCAGCAAATTTGATTTTAATTAATACATGCCAATGAACTTAGTTTAACATTCTGTTAACAATTATATCACAACTACACAGGTGTAAATCTGTTTTTAACATTAAATCAGATGTAGATAGCCTTGCCTGATAATTGGTCATCATGCCATTTTTCTTGCAACCCATTAAAGTTCCTCTGCCCAGTAGGAAAGTTTATCATATGATGATGTATTTCATAGGATCTAAAATGAGTTTCCATTTCATAGGAAAACAATAAAACAAGTTTCATATTTTTTTCCCATTTTAGCAAGCTTAATTAAACATTTGTTTTGGATGATTTGTGATCTGATTTATAATTATTTATTGCTAAAAAAATGCTTTTCACACAAAAGTCATTCTGAAAGTAAAAATTAAAAAAATCCACTGTGTTGGCTTTAAATCCATTATCTCCCTTGTGACGCCATACTATAATCTGGGAGTCTGTGATGTAATTTCATTATCATTTGATGACGTAACAGTAGTTTCTATTACATTAATTCATACACAAAATATATAGCATCAATGTATTCAATGTATGAACACGTACACATTAAATATGTATTGTTGCAAAACATAAGTCATAGGACCAAATGTCTAATACTATAGGGGATAGATTTTAAAGACTAATCTGCCTGAAATCATCAAAGACATTAGCACCTCAAAATCTGTAATACAATGGTTGACCATTAAAAATGTTACCCATACTATTCACAAAGTCATTATACAAAACAAAATTCCAAGTTACATATTTGACTATATCATATTTTTTGAAAAAGCAAGATTAAGTTTGAATGTAACCAATTGTGATCGACTATGTATACTGTCACAATGCATCTCCTTACATTTAAAAACACAGTAAACCTTTAGCTGGTGTCATTTACTTAATGGGAAACAGATTTCCATGAAGTATATTTGACTGATTGAGCACACATTCAGATATGCAAAACAGACAAAAATCAGCATTTCTAACAAGCCAAAAAGTGACCTTGGTCTTCTAATATCCATCCATAGGCAGTGACCTTGACCTTTCTATATCAATTTTGATCTGCTTACAGAACCTATAAATGTCCAATTTCCTTGCATAGACACTTAAATTCTATTGCATAAATTTAAATTCTACATACGATAATTGACACTAACCTTGACCTTTTCACTTAAATTACGAAATATTGGGTAGTAAATTTTGAACAAATTGGAAAGTATTATGTTCGTTCAATCATTATTGATTGAAATCAAATATACTCTACATGATGTTAGAATTACACATCTAGAAACAAAATCAATATTGTTACAACTTCTTGTGTAACATTCAAATTTGCTCCATATAGACTACCCCGGTATGTTTGATAAAAAGTATAAAAGTGGTCAGTTTCTTACAAGAATTAAAAAAAAATAAAAAAATGACATTACAAACTGCTGCCAATATGTGATTCATTCCTCTCTATATCTAAGGTACAAGGTTCTTACCTGCTAGTATAAAACAAAGTGTTAAAAAAAAAAATTAATACAAATCCCCAACAAAATTAATAATAATAATTAAACAACTTCAAAGTTCATTGATTGTACAGTACATCTTAATTACTTTAAAAATATAATTAAATCTAAATACCATATGAAAGCCACATTAACATACATGTATCAATCTATAGATTCACATAAAAAAGATATTATTGTTACATCAATGCAATGCTCATTTTTTAACTTCCAAAATAGTGGAAAATATATTGTACCAAAATAATTCTATTGATTTAATGTAAGAGTTTCAAGAATAATGTTTTGAAGAACACTACATTATTCCGTGGACTTTACTTCAGAAAATGTACATGGCCACCTGTTATTGAAATTTCCTGATTTTTTTAAAAATTCTATTGATCTGTTGACCTTGGTTGCCGATCAGTGAGTTCAATGACTGACAGTCTTTTCTTCAGTCTTTAAACAAAATGAATGGGAGACAAGGAAACTCAGGAAATTAATGTTTGCCCTAGATCAAGATTAACCATAATAATGATAAATCTTTATCATAAAATAAGAAATAAAGTTTATTAATTTATTACACAATGCAATTTTCCTTCATAATCATTGCATCTTTGTTTTAACATTTATTTTGTATCATGCTAATCTCTGTATTTTGAGATATTTTATGAAAAAAATATATATAGAAATAGTTAAAATTGACATCATTCAAATAAATTCTTTAACAAAAATAGATAAAATGATAAATATATCAGCTTCAACTGTTACTTCAATACCATACCCTGGGCAAAAATGGATTAAAATCAAATCACAAAACTTACCTTTTTCCTGTCAGAATTTCATCAGTGACAAAGCAGAATTTTCATTCCTTGACTAATCTAATTTTAGTAGGACATACTCTCCTGATTAGTGATATCGAAATTCCCCCATGTTAATATACAGTTATACCTACATAATAAGGTGCCTATAAGTTATAATTAGGTATCCTATAGATCCAGGAATTTCCAACAATGATGAATCCTCTCATGGGATTGGTACAAACATGGGCTAACGGGGCCCATGTGGCCAATCCAGGATTCAGGAAATATCCTCTCATGGGATCTATATCCAGGAAATTAGACCTAGACATCATGCGGACCCAGGAAATTCCTGATCCGATATCCTCTCATGGGATCCAGGTATATGAGCTACTCATCATGTCTGGATCCAGGATTGTCAGAATATCCTCTCATTAG